AAAACATGCAATACATAAATTAATGACAATCAGTTTTATTGGTCAAATATCAGGCAATTATAATAACAATAATTAAGTGGTCAAATAAAGGTGTTAAGTTAAATTATTGATAATATGGAAATGTCACCGTCAAAGCACACTAGTATCACGGTCATTTAAAAACTCATCAATCGTGTAAAAACATTTATTAATGAGATATTTTTAAAGTGAAGTTTAAATAAATGTAGATGGAGTTCTCTTATGGCCCCAGGTATTCTGTTGTAAATTCTAGGTGCCATGCAAAAAATACTCTTGCTCATTAGTGCAGTTTGAGCCTTTCGCATGCATAACCTATCATTATCTCGTCTGTTCCGTATCGTTTTGTCTTGAATACGTTTAAATATATTAGGATTAGACATAACGAAGACTGCTGTTGCAAATATATAAAGTGCCGAAACAGTCAAGATACTGTTATCTTTAAAAAATGGTCTACAGCTGTCAAGTGTTTGTAGTCCAAACATCGCTCTTATTACTCATTTTTGAGATTTAAAGACGAGTTTTCTATTCGTTGAGTTACCCCAAAATATAATCGTCCGTGTGGTGACGGATTAAGAATACAGAGTGTCACCACCCCTATTCATCCCGTGGGTGTCGTAAGAGCCGACTAAGGGAAAAAACTACGCAGAACAACAGCACTGCAGAGAGAAGGAAAACTTGACACAAACCCTATACCACGCTGGCCAGACACCCGTCTGTATAGTAGGCCAAAACCTCCTTTCTAAGGAGAGGCTTATGTCCAGCAGTGGACTATTAAAGGCTGATGATGAAAATATAATGCCAAATCTTAAGATTGATCCTACCATACCGTGATACGCTGTTAGTAGAGCATGTTTATTTAAAACCGGAGCCAGTTTGAATAAGGCATATGACGCAGAACTGATTCGCTTGGAGAGTTCTTCCGTATCAACTTTCCAATTTAAGCGTTTAACTATTGTGAGCCCTGTATCTACACTGCTCAATGTGTTGTTTTCATGGTGTACATTAACATATGGCATTAGAGTACGTTGACTGAAGAACATTACTTTAGTTTTTTAAATATTTATTTTTAGGTTATTACTGTTTAGGTAATTTATGATACACGTAATAGTCTCATTAATGTCGCTCTCGTAAGTGTGTTCATTTTTACAATTTATAATAACAGTACTGTCGTCAGCAAAAAGTGTCATAGGATATTTAGATGCTCGTGGCAAGTCATTTATATATAGCAGAAACAATAAAGGACCTAACACGCTCCCCTGTGGCACTCCAAACATAGGAGAGCGATATTCCGATGAGTATGTAACTTCCCGTTTTTTTAATTCTGTCTATTTTAGTGATTTCGGTAAATTGTAGTCTATTTTCCAGATATGATTTTATCAATTGGAGTGCATTTCCACGTATACCGTAAACCTCCAATTTTTTTTGTAATATGTCGTGGTCCACGTAGTCAAACGCCTGTGATATATCGCAAAATATTGCACAGATAGCCTTTTTAGTCAAAGATTGCCAAGTTAATGGTTTTGTTCTTTCAAAATCCCTTTTGGGCGTCAGTAAGTATCTTAAATTTGTCTAAATAATCATAGATTTGTGCATAAAGATATTTTTAAATTATTTTAGAGAATATGGATATAAGTGCAATCGGCCGATAACAATCAAGGTCTTCTTTGTTGCCATTTTTAAAAATAGGTTTCATTATTGAAATCTTTAGATCGCCTGGGTATATACCCGTGTTGATACAGACATTGATTATGTAGCTTAGGTGACCACAAATGCCATCTGCGACCCTTTTGATGACTTTCGTACGTACCCCATCGTGACCCACACTGGACGTATTTTTTAAGGCTGCTATTATTTTTAATAAATCATGAGGAGAACTTGGGAGTATGCCCATTGATTTGTAGCTTGCGTGTGTTGGAATGGGATTATATTGTCTAGTTGGTATTGTTTTAATTTTTTCAATTATGTGATTGTTAATGATTTCGCATATACCCTGTGCATTATGTTGTTTTATTGCCTAGATTTATTTTAGAAATTGTATCTTTAGGTAGTCGTTGTTTAGTGCTACTGATTATGGACCAAATTGCCTTAGATTTGTTGAGATGTTTTTATTTTGTAACTTAATCTCCGCTAATATAGCTCACAATAATTAATTAATTTAATTTGAAGTTATAGTGGTTTTTAAGTAGGTGAAAAAATGGAGGCGCTAAAAATAATTTATTCTCAAAGTGAGCAGTAGACAAAATAAGTTTGGGAACCCCTGCTCTAGATTACAAAAAAGAAACAGCGAAGTCTGCACAAGTCACTAGTGAATGTTATAGCCAACGTGTCCGCGAACGTATTAAACTAAGCAACGGATTTTAAACTAACCAATAGAGAGTGATTCAAGAGAAAGGTTTGTGGCTACTTTCACATAGAATGAAATACAAAAACATACTACAGCGCCATCTAACGAAGACACACCGAACTACGGAGTAACTCTTGAATGAGAATTGCTAATTCTGTATCGCGATATGAAGAATTCTCTACCCGATTAGCATATATGCAACTTCACAGCATCAGACGTCGGGCCACAGCCCGCCAGGCATGATCACCTCACCTGGTCGGAGGATCCTCGCTTTGTATTTGAGGGACATGACACCCGTTCCTCCACAGTAGTGACCCCGACATGATTGGAAGCAGCCTTCAAAGGAGATCAGCAGCAGCACTATTACCACCATCGTGTACACTTCTACAGCTATGAACAGTAATCAAGTCTCAGCAAACCAGCAACCTCGGCCTCAACAAAGATACAACCTGCAGGTAGCGACCGCTCCAGCCCGATTACCCCTACGGCCTTATCAACGTTTAGGCACAGCACACTGTACCTAGAGTTCACGTAAGAAGAGCATATATCTCCCGTCTACGCAGCATCCAGCTCCTACGCAGCAACTGTCCCGTCTCACTGGGGACTTCACCGCAGCACCGCGCACCGTACGCCATCCCAATTCTCTGAGATCAGCGGACGTTAACCCCGACTTACTAGGGCTAGCGGCACTCAGTTCTGACTCCTTGGAACTAGCGGCACTCAGTTCCGACTCACTGGAACTACTCACACTGCCACTAGCACGCTCCACAACAGGGCATAGACAGCTGACTCATCAAGAAATCGACCTCCGGTCTCGGAGGGGAGTAATGTGGCTACTTCCATATATAATGAAACACAGAAACATACGAAAGCGCGATCTAACGAAGACACACCGAACTACGAAGTAACTCTTAAATTGGGAATTGCTGGTCCCGTATCTCGATATGAAGAATTTTTTTTCCGATTAGCATTCGAGCATATACAACTTAATACTAACCTAACATCAACCGTTGGGCCGCCGCCCCCCACGCATGATCACCTCGCCTGGTCGGAGGATCCTCCCTTTGTGTTGGAGGGAGATGACACCCGTTCCTCTACAGGTTTACATGTATAATACCTGCATATTATAGTAGAAGAAAGCCGAGAGTTTCTAAGATTTTTCTTAAAAACATGGTTTTGCGCGCTTACATTGCAAGCGCTAGCTAATCCTTTCTTGACAGACCAAAATAATGTAGTATGGAATTGTATATCTTAAAAAGATCTAGAAAAAAGTCTGCTATGGTATATGTCTATCTCCTAAGGATAACCAACAGTAACCATTTTTATCTTTTAAGTATTACAAAAAATAATGGGTTATTTACGAAGCTATTTTAAACAATACATTATTATTACTTATCTAATTAAATACGTTAAATACGTTGTGCATTTAATGTAAATTAAAATTACTCTTTACTGCATGTCATTAAAATGAATATTCTAGAAAATATTAGCAGTTTAGAACGCAGGGTCAAAGCGGCCGTCGCTTCTTCGAACCGTACGTCTGGCAAGATCGGAACGGGCCCATAAATTTGACATATTAAGATGTCCTTGTTGTACCAAGTGGTTCTATCCAGGAGTCAAAGCTTAAGCTATCAGTGATTTAGTTTAAGGTTTGACTCTTGGATTGATGTGATTGTCTAGCCCGTCCCAACACTGAACCCTTTAACTTTTCGCCGGAATCTTCTGAAGACATGAGAAAGTTTATCCTGTCTATCTATTCCAATTGTCGTAGTTGTCAAACATAATCTTCTTCACCCTTTACAATGTGGACCAGAAAGTCACTTCGTCTTCTTCATCTAAAGAATTTTATTTCCACTAAAAGGGTGACATGTGTTAGTTTGACCTGAATGCATACCTTCTCAATAAGCTAGACCGACTAAGGCGTAGTATTTTTTTATAAACGTCGTCTAATTTCTTTCATCATCGTCGCCCCTTTTTTTGCAGTGTACAATCTCGAATGGCTCGTTTTTTGAATGGGTTTAAAACATTCCAATTTTAAAATATTTACTAAATCTGATAAATTATTTCTGATCCAACAACAAATCGTAAGATAAGAATGATTACGATACACTGAAACGAAATGTGCTCGAAGCACTTCCCATTATTAGAGAGCGTTCTCGAAACTTATTAAGAAGAAGGAAAAATTGCCTTTGCCTATAAAAGTTCAAAAAAACATGAACACTTAATAGACTAATGATAAAGGATAGTCATGTTCCTACATTTCAATGGCACACCTCTAGAACTGTCATTTTTATAACCTTAAATCTAAATTTATTTGTTTAGGTATTGCATAGCAAAAATACTTTTACTACACTTTCGCTTTTGTTTCAGCTTCCGCTGAGTATTTTCCATGACACTGCAATTGCTTCGAGTCATTTGTAACTCATTGGTCATTCCATCTCAAAACTGCTCGCATTATTTCGGTCGCCATTGCAAGTTCTTACGTAGCAAACACCGTTATTCGGAGTGGGGATCGAGACGCGCGAGGGGGGCACGTTTCAGCAGCGCCGTTGGAGCGCGAGTTCACTCTGTCACTCGGTCATTACGGTATTTCTGTGTAGCGCGTCCTACATTTACGATCGTGAAAGAAAAAGTGACGATGCCCGAAAACAAACCATTTCAGCGTCTCCCAAAATGTGTGGTACCAAAACATTACGATTTGCAATTGGTGCCGAATTTGGAGAAATTTACATTTAAGGGTAAAACAGCAGTGAAAGTATTGGTAAGTAGAAATTTCATCATCGACGCTGCAATAATTGTACCATGTGCCATGTTATAGTAATTGCATTACGTTTTAGATCGTGAATCCAACGAACGAAATAGTTCTTAATTGCTTGGATTTAGAATTATCGAATGTGAAGCTTCAGTATCTCGAGGGAGGTTCAGAGTCAACGTTAATCCCATCTGAAGTACGTCTAAGCACGGCTGATGAGACTGCCACCATTGTTTTTGATAAACAACTCGTTGAAGGCGAAGCTACGCTACACTGCGAATTCGATGGTGAGATCAATGACAAGATGAAGGGTCTGTACCGCAGCAAGTATGTCACGCCGGGTGGCGAGGAACGCTACGCTGCAGTCACGCAGTTCGAAGCGACAGATGCGCGCCGATGTTTTCCTTGCTGGGACGAACCAGCTATTAAAGCCACTTTTGATATCACACTTGAAGTGCCATCCGATCGTGTAGCTTTATCTAACATGCCTGTCAAGGAAGAAAAATTGAATGGTGCTAAGAAGATAATTCATTTTGATACAACACCTATAATGTCAACCTACCTTGTGGCAGTTGTTGTTGGTGAATATGATTATGTTGAAAAGAAATCTCGTGATGGTGTATTGGTAAGAGTTTATACACCTGTAGGTAAAAGTAAACAAGGGTTGTTTGCCTTAGAAGTTGCATCTAAAGTTCTTCCTTATTACAAGGAATATTTTGACATAGCTTACCCTCTGCCTAAAATTGACCTAATAGCGATAGCAGATTTCTCTGCTGGTGCCATGGAGAATTGGGGCCTGGTAACATATAGAGAGACTTGTCTTCTTGTGGATGAAGAACATACATCAGCTGTGAGGAGACAGTGGATAGCTTTGGTAGTTGGCCATGAGCTTGCTCACCAGTGGTTTGGTAACCTTGTGACCATGGAGTGGTGGACCCATCTTTGGTTGAATGAAGGGTATGCCTCTTTTGTGGAATTTCTGTGTGTTAACCACCTGTTTCCAGAATATGATATTTGGACTCAATTTGTTACAGAAAATTATATCAGGTAAGGTCTAAATGTATATATTAATGTTATACTGTTATATTCTTTGAACTTGATAATTAATAGAAAACTTGTGTGTATAATACAATAAATTGCTCAGACATTTTTATTTTCTTTTGATAAGTATATTTTTTAATGATATAGCTATGCATTATTACTTTGCTGTTATGCTATTATCTTAAAATATACAATTCTAATTATTGTAAAATATAATTCATTTGATTCGGTTTTGATATCCTTTATTTATTTATTTGAAGAGAGAATTTTCAACACCTTTTCTTTGTTAAGTGTTTATCACCAGTTGTTGGCTGTTTGCCAACTAAATGTGCTGTGAAGTCATTCACCCTGTGAACACAAGAGAACAATAGAATTTGTTTAATCATCTACATGACTTGACTGCTTATTAATTATGTACAAAAAATTATTAGCATTTCATTATATTTTGAATTTTCATTCCAGGGCCTTAGAATTGGATTGTCTGAAAAATTCACATCCTATTGAAGTTCCAGTAGGTCATCCCTCAGAAATAGATGAAATTTTTGATGACATATCATACAATAAAGGTGCATCTGTAATCCGGATGTTGCATAGATATATAGGTGATGAAGATTTCCGTAAGGGCATGACTATTTACTTGACCAGACATCAGGTAAACATTTACCATACTATCTAATAACTTATATATCATTTTTCAAGGCACATACTTCATATTTATAATATAAACCAACACTTAGTAATAAATTACCTACATTGCATATTATTAACTAGAAAATATTTTTCTATTGTATAATTATTATTATTTACATTTCAGTACAAAAATACATTTACAGAAGATTTGTGGGCTGCCTTAGAAGAAGCATCCAATAAGCCTGTTGGGGCTGTAATGTCCACATGGACAAAACAAATGGGCTTTCCAATGGTTGAGGTTGGTAAATAAGAAAGATACTTAATGCTATGGATAGAATAGAATTACCTCTTTAATTTATATCATTTATGAGAATATCTCTTTGTTTATATCTTTACACCTTCTAAATTAAATATTGACTTTACAGTGAACTATATAATATAGTTATAGTCTACTGTTTGGAACCTTGAAGTAAGAGTACAATCAATTGTAATAACACCTAATCTGATGTGGTATACTTATTAATTGAAAACTCTTCTGATCCATTCATTTTGTCTTTAAAGTTTTATTCAAATTTGTTTTATGATAAGCTTGATTGCTGCTTTCTACATATCATGCTTAAATGTTGCTTGTAAACAACTGCCAATGGATTAAAATTTTGATTTGAAAAGATTGCAAATGCAGTAGGTAATAATAATATTTTATTACTTTTTGTTTTCTGTTGTTCTGTTGTTAATCAGACATAATTTTATTGAATTTAAACTCAAAATGTACATAAAACAATATTTTATGTCTAGCACTCTTGTATATGTTGAGAAAGTATATGATCTCAGAGTTCATCTGTGTACCTACCATAATGAAAAGGTGTTTTATGTCATAGATTTTTGTGTAAGATAGAATAAGTAATAGAGTACAGTGAAGCCACCTCCATTGTGCTTGTCATGCCATCTTTAATTAGTCTTTTATCTAAAATCTTATGGATGGAAATCTGGTCTAGAGATATCTTACTGTGTTTTCACAATCAATGATTCAGGCTAAAGAGAGTTAATCAGAGTTCCAATAAAAACAGCACTCAAATCCATTTGAAAACTTTTAATCATCAAATTGGTATTCAAAACACCCCTATTTCTATATATATGGAGACTGGAGTTATATATATACACTATTTAAATGTAAATGTTTACTATATTGAATGTTTTATTTTCAGGTCAATTCAGAACAAAAAGGTGCAGATAGAGTACTGACACTAACACAGCAGAAATTCTGTGCAGATGGCAGCCAAGGGAATGACACACTCTGGATGGTTCCAATTACAATATCCACTCAGGAACAACCCACAAAGGTACTCCAAAATATATAAATCTGTACCATTTGATAAAAAGTTAATCAAAAAACTTAATTACTTAAGATTAGATTAAATTTGACACATCAATAATCTTAGCACAAACTAATTTTTGTGAATGTCAACTAAAACATCATTGTACATAATTTTATTAACATTTAATAATTTAGATTATTTTCATAATTACCCAAAACAAAAATTGCTTAGCAAAGAACGTGAATAAAGATTTAAATATTACACCTAAATATGTAGAATATAAAACACTAAAAAGTAGAGATGAAACACATAGTATAGCTTTTAAATGTTTTTATGGGTTGCAAATGTTAAACTTCCCTTCTGTAAGGCATAGCGTCCTTGTCAGCCTTTTCTGTCTAAGAAACCAAATAGATATGCATATTAAAACAACACTAGTACAACAATGTAATTACTAGTTTTTAACTTTAACAGTTACACCACTGTATACTGACTTCATGCTGTGCCAATCCTGACGGAAGTGTTGTTGTCGATGTAAAAAAAGAAGAGTCAAATGTAAAAAGTCTTCTATATTAATATGATGAGAGTATAATACTTAGATTTTACAGTGTCTTAGATACTTTTTAGGATGTAGTAGGTAAAATTTACCACAAGTAGTCAAGTGTTGATAATTTATTTATTGTATTGCTATCTGTATGTAAATAACTTGATGTTATCTCAGTAGTTAAAGCACTGTACATGGTGCAAATCATAAATGAAGCTTACATACATGTTTGCATTACAGATAGCTTTATCTACTGTATTGGAAAAGAGACGACAAGAGGTTGTTTTGAAAAATGTCGCTGAGAGCTCTTGGGTCAAACTTAATCCTGGCACTGTAAGTATATTTTCTTTTCTAAAAGATTACAAGGAGGATATCTATAATTTCAGAATCCTAAAATAGTAAATAATATGTATGTATAATAATATAATAATATTGTAAGACCTACATACATATTATGTCAAGAATTCTATGCAAGCATACTTAAGAAATAATCGTGAAAGAAGATAAGTTAATGCATAGAATTAGAACAAAACTCAAACATTTTATACATACATTATTTGACAACAGCTACATCTAGCTCCAGGGTCCAGTATATACTACTCTGTCAAGAAAGTACCGGGAAAAGATGAATAATACACAAAATGTTTGTTATTCATCCAAATTTATTTTATCACCTTCAAAGTATGCTCCTTCAGAAACGATACACTTACGCCAACGAATAATGCAAAACATCAAAACATTTTTTTAATTGAATTAAGTTCAGTTCACCGCGAATTCTCCTTTATGTCTTCTACCGATAGAAAAGGAGTGCCATGAAGTGTTAATTTGAGTTTAGGAAAAAGAAGGAACTCGGCTGGAGCCATATCTGGTAAATATGGTGGTTGCTCGGTGGTATTTGTTGAGTGTTTGGTCAAAAATTCGTTCACAATGATGGCCTTGTGCGAAGGCGCATTTTCATGGTGCAAAATCCAAGAATTTTCTTTCCACAAATCTAGCCTTTTTCGTCGATTTTGCTCTCTTAAATGTCGCATAACGCTTAAATAATATTCTTTATTTACCGTTAGACCTTCTGAAAAGAATTCCGAGTGCACAACACCGCGATAGTCAAAGAAAACAGTCAAACCGACTTTGACTTTTGATCGACTTTGGCGTGGTTTTTTTTGGTTGCTCCGAAGCTTGTTGACATCTGGACCGCTTTTGAAGGCTTTGTACCACTCATAACCACGTGTTTTTGATAAAGTAGATTTACCGTAAGCCTTCTGTAACATTTTGAGTGACTCCGAACACAAAATTGCATTGGCGATGCAAAATTTAAGACAAACTCTTTGTTCGATGTTTTTGTCCATTATGAAATTCCCAATACACACTAGATATGATATAACTAAAAGCAGCACTGTATTTAATATAAATAACAGATGCAACTCAAACTCCGCGCCAAAATGGAAAACAGTTGTGCCAATCTAACAACAACAAAAAAAAAAAAAATTTGAATTTGGAACCATAAACAAATAATAATAATATTCTACCACATTCACACAACGCCATCTAGTCCCAAACTAAGCAGAGCTTGTACTATGGGTACTAGACAACTGATATAAATACATATATACTTTTTTTTTTGTAAATACATACATATTATACATAGAAACACCCAGACCAAATCAAACATTAAATGTTCATGCACATAAATGTTTGACTTGAGCGGGAATCGAACCCGCGACCTTTGGAATAGCAGTCCGTTACACAAACCACTACACCATCCGGTCGGTAAAATCATCCATTCCTGATACTTTACCCGATACTGAATGCATAATATATGAAGTCTTAATAGTTAGTTCAAGTTATAATTGGTAATGCAATTAAAATTATTGACTTAAGTGAACTCTGAACGCCAATAATCCCTTGCAGCACAAACATAGATTATAGGAGCTGGCTCTCGAATACGTTGCTCTGCTAGTGAATATTTATTCAAACCTAGTATGTAATACATTGATTGTGATCATGTCTGTGTAATCATGTGAAGTTGATAGCGTTTTCAAAAAAAATATTAAAATCATGCAAAAAATTATCTGTTTCGGAATTAAGCTGAAGCGGGATTAAGCGGACATAGCCTACCTAGTATATGGCACGCCCTCAAATTGAGATTTTTTTAATCAACAAAGAGAGTCATTTTCGTTTACTATACATCACTATACATTACAATAATCCAGGGCCCTTTAAGATTAAAAAATATATATTTAAATAATCATATTAAATGAATAAAAACTTGACACAAATCCTATACCGCCGCGTCTGGCCAGCGTGGTATAGTAGGCCAAAACCTCCTTTCTAAGGCTCTCCTTAGAAAGACCTATGTCTATTATTGCATTATTACTGCATTTGCAATATAGAACGAACCATTGATTCTTGTGTTTGGTTTGGTACTTGAGTTTTGTTAGAAACAAGGCTAGTTTAAAAGCAACTGCAGCTAGGCTTGGAAATCATTATATTAAGATCTATCGAAATCATCATCAACAGCCTTTAACAGTCCACTGCTGGACATAGGCCTCTCCTTAGAAAGGAAGTTTTGGCCTACTATACCACGCTGGCCAGACGAGTTGGCATAGGGTTTGTGTCAAGTTTTCCTTCTCTTTGCAGTGCTGTTATTCTGCCAAAACTCGGATTTATTGCGCGTAAACTGCGCCAACAGAGCGTTGGAAATGTTCAATCGAACACGTTTTTAGTCTAACGTAAGCAAACGCGGCACCCAAGCGCGATCAGCTTTCTCATGTCTAAATGTTGATTTAATATGTGACAAACATGTTCTTTTGACATGTTCATAACCTCTGCTATCTCTCTCACTTTGGTGAACTTTGGCGATGTTTTCGTCGGTAGTTGCAGTTTTTTTTTAGAACGTCCCGAACGTTGTCTCCCAAGGTCTTACGGCCACGTTTAAATTCAGCTGCCCAAAATTTTACTGTGGTAAATGATGGTGCAGAATCTCACACCAACAGAATCCAACTCATCTTTGACTTGCGTAGGGCGTAGTGCCTTTCAAAAACAAATATTTAATGACAGCTCGGTACTCGATTATGTCCATTTTCATAAAAACACTCACATCAACTCACTCGAACGGCTGTTACATAACAACTGCGCGTCGCAAATGGCTGAAACTTTGGCGAGTAACTGTCAACAGATGAACAACGAAATTCACTAGCTTTTATTCATGAGTGTTGCCATCTTCGTGTTGAGGTCGGTAACTTTTCAGACCACCTGTGTATCATACAATAATAACAAATTACTTTTACGTTGGCAGAAAAGTTACAATTTATAACCACATACTATATTATACAGGTTGGATATTATAGAACACGCTACCCTGCGTCAATGCTGGCACAACTAGTAACGGCCATCCGCGACGGTTCGTTGCCACCGCTCGACAGATTAGGCCTCCTTGATGACTGCTTTGCGCTAGTCCAGGCTAGACACACGCAAACTGCTGAGGTGTGTAGAAATCTTTATGATACCTAAGTTAAATTAAAAAGAAAGAGAACAATTGCAATTTTCATAAAAAAATATTGAAATGAAATAAAAGATTGTTTATTACCAATGAATATGAAAAATACTGCTTTTATCACAAATAAGTAATTATTTATCTAATCTTATTTATATCTTTACCTATAAATTTATCTTAATCAATCTATAAGTTTCTTTCACCTGAATTTGTATTATTACTGAATGTTTTCTAATATAGGTAAGACTGAAATAGGTGTTATTTATATTAATAGCAACAACTATTAATGCTGGTAATATTTAAAGAAAATGAAGAAAATATATACCTCAATAATAACATAATATACAGTTTTTATATTGGTTTCTTGTTACATTGTTAATATCTCGCACTAACAGTTCGATTTCAATGATTATTTTTGTTACACTGAGTATCCATTAGTTCATAGTTCATTTATTCAGAAACAATCATCAATTATTTTTTAGAACATATTTTTATGACCTTTAAAGAAATGCTGACATCATTAAATAATGTTACACCTCTATATACCTTATTCTAAACTAATATCATTATCATTTTATTTTTGTTTTGTTTTCAGTCATTGAAACTCATGGAAGCTTTTAGTAATGAAACAAACTTTACAGTGTGGTCTTCAATATCCAACTGTATGTCCAAACTGAGTGCCTTATTGTCACATACACCACTTGACAAGCCCTTGAAGAATTTTGGACGAAAGTTATTTTCAAACATTACTCGGCGGTTAGGCTGGGATGCAGAGGAGAAGGAAAGCCATCTCGACACCTTGCTCCGAAGTTTAGTTCTTAACAAAATGATCAGCTTTGAGGACCCAGATACCATAAAGGAAGCCAAGATCCGGTAATTCAACTGGAGTTACAATTTTATTCATTTTAATGTGTTATATTTAGGTATTACATTTAGGCAGTGCACTTTATTTAAAACAAATTTCAAGCTACCTTCCTAGCTACCTTATTTCAAGCTAGAAAGAAAATACTGTGGTTTTGTACAAATATGTTTCTGAATATTTTTTCTATTACAACCTACGTCTAAGTTTAGCCCTAAAGATGGGACATATGATTGAAAATGCAACTTTTGCACGTGCAACGTGTTGATAGTGCCAATAAGAGGACGAATCCAGTTTCGCCATGTCAGAGCTAGGGTATATTGAGTATATGTTACGGTCTTTACCTGGTCTAACTTATTTATGACAATGAGCAATAGTATTTTTCACTGCTGCGTCAGAAACCATCTACCGGTATTGATTCATTTGGGATAGGTTAGAACAGTGACCATTATAGTTAAACCGCCGTAAGCTTGGCCCTCCTGATGGTTTGCGGGACGCGGGGCGGGTGATGCGCTCGGCTATACATGACACGATGTACTAACTCGATATCTTCAGATTTATTTGTTTGAGATTTAATCTACACACGATGTAATAAAAATCGAATTTATTTCCATGTATTATAATGTCAGTGTATTGTAAGTTTTTATGATTAATTGTAAAATTTAATACTGTAAAATAATTTTAATAAAATCACCTTATCTTCATCATGTAAATTATATTCAGATACAATTTAAAAATTAAGTAAAATAATAAATATTCTTTATTAGAACTTTAACAGTAGAACCTCTGTAAGCCGAACTTCAAGTTTTTAAATCTTTTTGTGACCCAGAGTCGGCAGATTATCCATGTTGCAAAATAATACCGTGTGTAGCAGTCTTAAGAAAAATAACACGTACGGACTTGCTTTCACGTCAGTCACTGCCGGCGGACAGCGACGCACTAGCTAATTGGTTGAATGCATCCCCGCCCCGCGTCCCCCAAACCATCAGGATGGCCAAGCTTACGGCGGTTTAACTATAATGCCAGATACCTTTTAATGTTGGTTAATCACATTTGGGTTAGACAATGTTATAACATGATGTTGCGCTCAAAAGGACTAACTGATTTAGCCTGTTAAAAATACTTTTGACCGGTTAAGAGTTCTTACTGTAACATATATTTTTTTAAATATTTTTATTTATTTATTATATTATTTTTTTATTATTTGCATTATTACTGCATTTGCAATATAGAACGAACCATTAATTCTTGTGTTTGGTTTGGTACTTGAATTTTGCTAGACACAAGGCTAGTTTAAAAGCGACTGCAGCTAGGCTTGGAAATCATTACATTCATCATCATCATCAACAGCCCTTAATAGTCCACTGCTGGACATAGGCCTCCCCTTAGAAAGGAGGTTTTGGCCTACTACATCAAGATCATTACATTAAGATCTATCTAAATCATCAACAGCCTTTAACAGTCCACTGCTCGACATAGGCCTCTCCTTAGAAAGGAGCTTTTGGTCTACTATATCACGCTGGCCAGACGGGTTGGTATGGGGTTTGTTTCAAGTGTTCCTTTTCTTTGCAGTGCTGTTGCCCTGCGTAGTTTGCTTAGTCCTTTAGTGGTCTCTTACGACACCCACGGAATGAATAGGGGTGGTGACACTCCGTATTCGTAATCCGTCACCACACGGACAATGTTGAAATAAAATCCACCTATCCATTAGATCTTCCCTCCTATCTATGTATATTATGAACTACTAGACATAAAATTGAAAACTATCAATCTTCGCGCACTCGCGCTTTTTACGTTTTGGTATTTCCAACTCTGGTAGCAGTAGGAGGGTTTAACGTAGAGCTTTGCAATGTATGTAAAACATGTTTAGTATGTCATTTCTTGTAAGAAAACATTTTTTTTTCTGTCCGTCATTTCAATTTATTGTGTGGCAATAATGATTTTTGCGTTTTCAAACTCATGTAGCAGTCGGAAGGTTAAACATACAGTGCTGTATTAAAAAAAAAGGTTTAGGATGCTATTTCGTTAAACAATGTAACTTTTTTTTCTTTATTTTCTTCACAGTTTTGGATGTGAAATGAATCCTTTACTATTTATTTAGTTGTAATTTGAAGAAAAAAGTACCTAAGAATGTGTACATAATGTTTGTAATTTCTGCTAGAGTCATTTAGGATATGATTAAAGAACCGTATTAATGTTTATTATCGTTTTAAAATAGGGTTTTTCTCAATAAAATATGGACATTTTATTAGGCATTAAAATGTAATAGCATTAGATTTCTTCTACACAATGTTGTCTGTATCATCAAATTTTAAAAAAAATCTGTACTTAGTTTTTTGTATTCTTCTAATACGAGGGCTGCTATTTCTGTATCCGGAATAACAAAGTGAAACAAACATATAGCATTTATTAAAGTTTTATTGCTTTTCAAAATATTCGCTGTGATAATCGATGCATTTTGCATTCGTTGGAACCAATTTTCCTAGCACTTTTTTCATTCTGATTGCAGTATCTCCAAAACGTGCATTATGTACGCATCACCAGCCTCTTCACGGCTCAAAAACGTTTGACCACGTAATTTATTCTTCACGGTTGGGAATGAATAGAAGTCGTTGGGGGCCAAGTCAAGGCTGTACGGCGGATGACCCGTTAATTCGATCTTTTGATCTTCCAAATACTGAGTTCTTTCGGCCAATGTGTGGCAGCTAGCATTGTCATGATGAAGAAGAATTCTGCATTGTTGGTTATTCTTTCTTATCTCTTCAAAGACTTCTGGCAAACAAATGATTGTGTACCATTCTAAATTAACCATTTTACGATCCTCTAGTGGCACTTTAGCCACATGTCCATTTATGCCAAAAAAACATTTGCTTCAAAGTGCTTTTCGAATGAACGACTTTTGTTGGGTTCGGCTCATCTTGGATCTTGAATTTTTGTTTAGTTTCAAGATCAAACGTATATATCCAAGATTCATCACCTTTGTAGGTATTATACTCGTAGACAGCTGATTGTACTTTTGTAACATTATTTAACACCAATCGATACGAGCCCGTTTTTTAGTAAATTCTCAAGTTGTGCGGAATCCAACGCGAACAATTTTTTGTTACAGCTAAATGTTCGTTTAATATTTAATATATACTTGTCATACTTATTCCCTGAGACGCCTCTATCTCGCGATATGTAACATGACGATCTTGCATTATTAGGTCCCGCACAGCATCAATATTTTGAGGTACAACAACCGATTTAGGGCGACCCTCTTTTAATTAGTCCGTGAGCACAGACCGCCCTCGATTAAACTCGCTAAACCAGTGATACACAGTTGTTTTTTGATAGTGCTTCGTCTCCAAAAGTCGAAGTGAGTTGATCGATGCACTGTTTTTGCACATAGCACGAAAATTTTCACGAGTTAAATCCATAGTGATAACGCAATTTTCAAAATGACGCCACAAAGGATAAACAAATGACAGCTACATGAAACAAATTGTATTCTTCAGCCAAAGAGTTCCATTTTTAAAGTTATAATTACTTTTTTAATAATGTTCTATTACTGGCCAGTTCTGGATACATAAATAGCAGCCCTCGTATAAATACCGTATTCCGAATCCAATAAAAAAAATGCAAAATTGAGCTGAAGGTAATGTCGCTTCAGGTTCGAGCGGCACTCGCAGGGCGCGGAGCCACTGGCGGCGGACTTGCGTTCGGCGTGCTACCGCGCCGTGCTGGCGGGCGCGGACGAAGCCACGTTCGAGCGCTTCCTGGCGCTGTACCGCGCCGCCGACCTGCACGAAGAGAAAGACCGCATCAGCCGCGCGCTCGGCGCCGTCAACGACCCCGCCATCCTCAAGCGCGTGCTCGACTTCGCTATATCGGTATCGAACCCCACGTCTATTCACTTTCACTAGTCTCTGTTAACGATTTACAGACGCGTGTACACGTAATTTAACAATTACACATAGAAAGGTTAGAAAGTGTATACTTTTGGTGTAGTGGTTGGTAATCCTGACTGCTGAGCCAAAGAGCGTGAGTTCGAGTCGCACTCTGTAATCTGTGTTTTTCTATAATATTTATGTAGTTAGTAATATATAAGTTCTTTTATCAGTATTTCGGTACCAATGTTACAGTTTCTTCTTAGTTTTTAAATTTAAATATATAACAGTGGTCGTACTATTTTATCTTATTACAACTTATTTACATTTTGATGAATCAGTACTATGTAGTATTCTTATTACATATTCATTATTTTAGGATGAAGTGAGAGCGCAAGACACCGTTTTCGTAATAGTCTCTGTGGCTGTAACCAAAAATGGTCGCGACCTCGCCTGGCAGTTCTTTAAAGATCATTGGCAGCAGTTTATGGACAGGTATCAGGTAAGTTTGAATCTGTTTCAATACTAAAACTAAGTTCGTGTTACCACTTCGCATCAAGGATTTCCAGTTTATTACTACTTATTTCTATAGCTAGGCTCTTATTTACCATAAGAAAATAAAAATCAAGTTAATGTAAAAGAAAAACATTAAAAAGCTGTTTTGTTTTTTTGGTTTTTTAGTTCTGATAGGTTTTGGGTCGAAAACCTATATGGTAGTTCCCGTTGACCTAGAATCACGAAATTTTGGCAAAAAGAAACGTCACAAATAAAGGAATAATGCCAAAAAATACAAAAAATTGAAAATTAAGATAAATTTTGGTACTTACAAATTTTCGCGAAAATCTACGTAAAATCTGGGTAGGTACGGAACCCTCGGCGCATGAGTTCTACTCGTACCTGACCGGGATTTTTGCAAATTATCATCACGACTATGCAACACAATATCTCTTATGTCAAATTGCTGTCCTACTATCACCACTACTACTTTACTCGTAGAAGATGCATGATATCGTCCTCTGTGTTCTCCAACAGGAACTTTATTTGCATGGACGACATTAAAGTCAGTAGTATCTACTGGAACACTCTCAATCGCAGTTTTACAAGACTGTATATAACAGTTATGAAAATGTGACATATCTTGGAGAGATCTGATCAAATCTCTATCAATTGGGTTGTGCGACACTTGAGCACCGCGTTGATGCTTGTGTATCTGGATCTGCAATAAAATAAATTTGCAGAAATTTGTGATCATCGGGTCGAAGCGGTAGCGAGCTCCCAGCTAAGTGATACACTTGCCCTTGAATTTTGAATGTAGGTATACGCCACGCTCAGCGACTTGCTTACTCTTCATTTGAAATTCTTTATTATAACGGCGTATATTGCGCATGAATTGTTTGGATTTCGGATGATCACCCGAAGGAGAGAGTCGTTCAGGTGGAGGAAGAATTTCTCCTAATTTTACTTTTCCTTGTAACATGCCACATGCCTTTCTAACACTTCACTACTGACATGGTACCTATTCATACTATACGATCGTCCTTGTAAGGAATCGATCATAATTCATGGAAGAATTTTCTTTATTTACCCATGAATGATTCGAGACAACTAACCCTCTCGGATCTATGGCTGTTCGGTTGTCCGTTTTTTCCGGTGTTACTATGTGTCTTTCTGATTCTCTGGCTTTCTGAACTCTGATTATACCGATCCTTGCTGCGGTGAGCCTCACGCTCTACTGAGGATTCTCTTTCTCTCTCAGCTCTATATCTATCCCGAAGCTGGCTGAGGCGATGGCGATTGACGATTCTTCATCTCTTCCTGAACGTGCTCTTCTGGAATTCACTGTACTACGCCCTATGTTCGAACAACGGCGTCTTTCAGACATGACTATAATTTCTGTACAAAATTTATTTTGTTCTTTTTTGACTTTACGTATGATTATGAACAAATTGCAGTATTATTAGTATGTGCTGCAGTAAAAAATATTTTACTTACTATTCGTTCAACTACATATAAATAAAAGATAATTAACAATCATCAACAACAAAGGATACCTCTTCTATTCAGTTCTTTTTTGAACTTACATACCTTACCTTAAATTACGATTTTCGATAATTAAAAATACTTACAAAATATTTGCCCTAATACTAAATTGCCTTAACTCTAAATTCAAACCAAAATCTTAACAGAAGAAATACTATTAATAAATTATCTTTATTAGTAGTATTATAATATATATGTTTCAATCTAATTCTATCTAACCTAATGTACTTACTATAAGTGCGGTTAAAAAATTAACCTTAATACCGACTAGAAGACGAACATACAAACCGAAAAAAAAAAATTGTCTTAAAAGATAATTCACTTTAGCATTTAAATACTGTCATATAATTTCTAATATTATGTTTTTAATTTATCGCAACGTACTTCTTACGTAAGTACGGATTACGTTGTCGCGCTGAAAAGCACGTTTTTATTAAGTATTGTTATTTTCCTCGCTGGAGAGCTCCGATAAACGCATGCGATCGCTGCTTATCATAAAGTGCTACAGGGCGAAGCGCGGCCTTCGACGCGCTATTTATAGGCAAGCGCCGCTGCACCCCCGGCCGGTACAGCGACAACCGCGGCAACCGCTATATCCCTGCATTTTAAATCTGTAATATCTTCGAAAATATTCATTTAAATTACATGCTATAAAGAGCCATATTAATCTATTTTAAATGCACTAATGTTTTTAAGGTACTTAATTGGATAAGGATTAATGCTGTATTGCTTAAAATCGCTTCGTTAATAAGCTATTATTTCTCTTTCTTTAAGTAAAGGATAAAAATGGTTATTGTGGGTTATCCCTAAGAGATAGACATATACCATCGCGGACTTTTTTGTGGACCTTTTTAAGGTGTACAATACTGTAGTACATTATTTTGCTCTATCTAGGGTTCAGCCAGCGTTTGCAATGTAAGCGCAATAAAATGCATGTAGTGATTTGCCCTTTTTATATACTACTAGCTGAGACCCGCGGGTGTTACCCGCGTTTGTTGTTATAACCGCGGGCAACGCCGCGGGGCGAAGCTAGCCTAAAAAAAGTAGCCTAAGTTACTCCTTATATCATCAGCTATCTGCCAGTGAAAGTCCCGTCGAAATCGGTCCAGCCGTTCCAGAGATTACCCGGAACAAACAAACAGACAGACAGACAAAAATTGAAAAAAATGTTATTTTGGCATATGTACCGTGTAAACATACATATGCATTTAGTAAAAAGCGGTTATTTTAATATTACAAGCAGACACTCCAATTTTATTTATTTGTATAGATTGTAAAATCATACTCGCTCAGTTTCAGTCCCCGTCTGGTCAGTCTGGAGTTAGGGTCCTTAATGTTCATTATCCATTGGAGGGGTTTATGGTCAGTAATTATCTTAAACTTTCTAACAAAAAGATAGGGCCTAAAGTACTTGGTCACCCACACTATAGCTACAATCTCTTTCTCAATAGTACCATAATTAACGTCGCTATCGTCGAGTGTCCTAGATGCGTAACAGATAGGTTTGTCTAATCCATGGGCCCTTGAGAAAGGATAGCAAAATTGTATGATTTGTCTGGAGGTTTTAGAGGGTTTATTTTTCCAGGGTTATGTTTAATACCTTCTCCACTAATGATATGGCCTAAATACGGTGTTTCTAATTTCAGAAATTTAGACATCCATTTGGATTTTGAAATTAGAGTCCCGTAGTTTACTAAAAAGTTTCTCTAGATTATTTCCTGAAGGCTGGTACTAAATTCGATGATTGCGTCCAAATAAACCAGACCAATTTCATTTTGAAGGCCACGGAGTACCTAATCCATTTCCCTCTGAAATGTCGATGTCGTCTGAATAATTTCGAGTTCTTCAGTCCTATCGGCATACGCAAGAATTCGTAGTGTCCGTGCTCTACCGTGAACGCGGTTTTAGATATATCATCGGGATGGATCTGTATTTGGTAAAAACCTGAAGAAAGGTCAAGGGTTGTGAAGTATTGACACCTACCAATCCGTCAATAAGTCCGTGACTTCTGCAATAAAACACATATTTTTTGATAAATAAATCATTTTATTTTTCAACGTAGTCTCCCTTGAGCTCTATACACTTTGTCCAACGCTTCTCCAATTTTTTTATCCCTTCCAAAAAATATGATTTGTCGAGGTCCTCAAAATAGGCCTTTGTTTGCGAGATGACTTCATCATTGTAGTCAAATCTTTTTCCACCAAGCCATTTCTTCAGGTTTGGGAACAAGAAGTAGTCACTCGGAGCCAAATCTCAAGAATAGGGCGGATGAGGGAGCAATTCATAGCCCAATTCATGGATTTTTGCCATGGTAACTGCACATGTGTGCACCCTTGCATTGTCTTGGTGGAAAAGAACTTTTTTCTTGGCCAAATGAGGTCGGTTATTTTTCAAATCGTCATTGAATCGGTCCAATAAGTTGGCATAATATTCCCCATTGATTGTTCTTCCCTTTTGAAGGTAGTCAATGTGGATTATCCCGCGTGCATCCCAAAAGACAGTCGCCATAACTTTACTGGCTGACAAACCCACCTTGGCCTTCTTTGGCGCCGATTCACCCTTAGAAACCCACTGTTTTGACTGTTGTTTGGTCTCTGGTGTGTTGTGATGGATCCATGTTTCGTCCACGGTTACAAAACGGCGCAAAAACTCCTCCATATTACGATTAAACAACGCCAAACCTTCCTGTGAAGTTGTTACACGATTGCGTTTGTGGTCGACTGTGAGCAATCGCGGCACCCATCTTGCAAAATTTCACAGAATTTCTTATTCAGGAAGACTAAACTCGGCTTGATAATGACCAGGGCCTCAATTCTGCTATTTTATGTTTACGCCAAGCCAGTGTCATACCACTGACACGCTATTGAGATGCCATCGAGTAGCCATTGGCATCGGTATAAATATCGGTAGTTGAAGATATATTACGTTTTTGAGAAAATGGTTTATTGGTTTTTATTATAATAAATTATTAAAAGAAATAAATTAATTAAAATAACTTTAAACAAGAATTAAATTTAAAAAAAAAGAAATAATTAAATTAAAATAAATTATTAAAGAATAAAATATAAAAATTACTAAAAAAGAAATAAGTAAATTATTAACATAAATAACTTTAAAAAAAATAAAAAAAAAGAAAAATTAAAATAAATTATTAAAGAATAAAATATAAAAATTATAAAAAAAGAACTAAGTAAATTATCAGTCATCGCGCGCGCGCACTCGTGAGCGGTCGCCGATTACTTGTGCAAAAATGTCTGTGAATACCGTTAAGTGTACGAGCTTTAATGTTGTTATTTCGGAGGTGCTTGCATTTATCCGGAATAGGCATGATGTGGTGGATAATGAGAGTTTATTACGAATTTGTGAATCGGCTTTTTCTGAGGAAGAAATAGACGAAGCAAAAAAGTTATTGTTTGTTTCGACAAAAACAAGTCAGAAATGGGTATCGAGAAGAAAAAACAAGAAAATGAAGGATATAGAAGATATGATATCTGTTTTCAAGACTATGGACCCTGAGCAAATACCAATCTTTGTGGCATATGACTTGCATAAATTGCCCCCTATATGCTTTGATCACGTAGACGTCACAAAGTTATTAAAAGATATATTAGTTTTACGTGCTGAAGTGTCTGAAATAAAAAGTAATTATGTGTCTAAAGCACAATTAGAAAAAATAGAAACCAATATGAAACAAAATTCAAGGTCCTTAAGAAATTCAAATATAGATAATAACATGAAGAAAGGACGGTATATATCAGAGGATAACGCCTCTGATATAAATCAAATACCGTCAAGTGGCTCAATAGTGCATCAAACGCCGCTGCGTTCATGTGATTTAGTGAATCATCAATCGAGCGAGAGTGAAACTATAATGCACAGTCCTCTCACTCAAATAGATTCCGACGACAAAACTGATAGGAATATACCTGTCGCGCATATTTCTACTAACGTGCCAGTGCGAAAAAAGGATCGATTATCGCAGGTAGACAAAACAGCTGACAATGGCAGAAATAGTTAGAAATGGTGAATGGAAAAACAATATTCAGGACAACAACTGGACTTTAGTACAAAGAAATAAATCAAAAAAGCGTTTTACTGGTATGATGGGAAAAGCAGCTTCAAATTCGACAGGGAATTTTAGGGCCGCCGAAATAAAAATACCTTTATTTATATCACATGTAAATAAAGAGACAACAGAATCCGACATATGCGACTACATAAGAACAAAAGCGAACGAAATTGTTAACTTAGAACAGATGAAAATGAAAACCGAACGGTCGTACAACGCTTATAAGTTCTATGTGCCTAAGCACAAATTAAATACATTTTTAGACGGCAATTTGTGGCCACGGCACGGCGACGGCAAAATAAAAAATCATTTCCTCAAAAAACGTAATATATTTTCAAATTATAAGGAAACGACTTATTTAATTTTTTTTTTATTTTTTTATTTTAATAAATTATTTCTTTTTTTTCATAATTTTATTTTTTTAATAATTTATTTATTTTAATAATTTATTTATTTCTTTGTTTATAATTTTTATATTTTATTCTTTAATAATTTATTTTAATTTATTTATTTCTTTTAATAATTTATTATAATAAAAACAAATAAATAATTTCCCCAAAAAACGTAATATATTTTCAACTACCGATATGTATACCGATGCAGATCTACTACGCGATGGCATCTCAATAGCGTGTCAGTGGTATGACACTGGCTTGGCGTAATAGCAGAATTGAGGCCCAGTAAACTCTAAGCAAAAAAACATGAGTAAAGTGTAGTAATTTAAAATTTCAGGGAGGATTTTTATTGGCGCGTCTGGTGAAGTCTACGACAGAGAACTTTGCGTCGGAGAGTTGCGCGCAGGAGATCGAGCAGTTTTTCCGCACGCATCAGTCGCCTGGCACGGAGCGCTCCGTGCAGCAGGCGCTGGAGACGGTGCGCCTCAACGCCGCGTGGCTGCGCCGCGATCTCGCCTCTACCACCGCCTACCTTCACTCCTACCACTGACACGAGCCCCCTCCTCGCCCCGATCCTTCCCTGCCTTGTCTCCTGACCGCTCCATCCCCGCTCCACAGGTAACCTGCTCTCGATGTTACTACTACTACTACGTTGTCATTACCGCTAGAAAATTATTTGCCGGACCAATTGATATAAGACTGAAACGCTACAACGAAACCGATGGTTATGTCTTATCATGTAGCATCATTTATTTTCATTTATGCTTGATGCATCGATAACAACTCGTAATAAATCTTAATTTAATGGGTTTTGTAAATTGTTATTAATTTAATTCAGCAGTTTTCTGCCATTGTTAATATTTTCGTTTTGGCCTCCTTCAAGGGTAATATAACTCTATAATAATCTGTGATAAAACCAAAAAAATACAGTGTGTAAAAGAAGTGTAAAAAAGTTGCAGCTTTTGAAATTATATAGAGACTTCTGGATAATGTGTCTCTATAAATTATTGTGTGTGAAATAGAAAATAAAACAATTAATAACATTTAAAACATTAATTTTCTAATCAGAAACTGGGTTGATGGAGGCCTTTATCTATTCAAAATCAGTTAGTCTTTACCAGACTTAAGCATACCATAACTTAAATTATCTGATTGCTCTTTAATGATAAAAAGAAAGTTATGCGGGTTCTCAGAATGCAACAATGGCGCGTGCCATAAATATTTGATAATTAGCTAAATTGGTGATGTGCACTGTATTAGTTAGAATTGCACAGACACACCACATAGAACATGTTGGTAGTAAAAGGGTTTCTGTTTCAAGAGTGGATTGCTTGCTGTCAATAATGAGTTCATAGCCGAAAATAGTTAGGGGTGTATTACGCCTACCTTTTGCGAAACTATTTTGGTACACAGGTACACAGATTGAGAAGAGCCATAGAAAAGTTACAGGCCTATTCCATATATACATATATGTATTTTGTAAATGTGTATAAATATTATTTTAATTTATGTTGAATGTTTTGCTGCTGGTGCTGAGAGCATTTTTATTTTGTTTCACTTGATTATTATACAGACAACATAGCTACTTAATTTTACAACATTGCACCATCCTTTTTGATCCATTGCATTTGAAAAAAATGTAATACATTAATGATAGCATTTTCTCGCGTATTATTCTATATGGCATTTAAAGGTTAATACGTTCAGTTATGTAAAAATATAGTGTTGTTATTTTATAATTGTAAAAAATAATTTTTATTGTCTATTTGTATAATGATACGCGTGTAAAATCATCAGTTTATTTATTTTGTTGACATGCAAACTTAGTCAAAATTGTGATTTTGGGGCTAATTTGAAAGTTACCATTAGTGTCGCGTTTGTTGTCATCACTTGTTTGTTTTGTAAGACTGTGTTATCGCAATAAATCGTACAAAATATAATTTATCTTTTTTTCATTTCCAATAGGGAATATGCATGTATTTTTTTTATTTTTTTAAACGATTCTACTAGTTATTACATTACCACCAAAAATAAATATAACACATCCGAAATATAAACCGTTAAGCAAAAAAAATTTATTAAAATCACTATTATTTTGGGGCAATTTGAACACGTCCATTTCGGCGCGCTTTTTTTGTGACGTCAGATTACACTTTCAGACGAATTCGATGTCAACAACGGAGTGAAGTTCACAAAGTTTTGTAAAAGTTAAAAAAGTGAGTGATAAAAATTAACTTATTACCATGGAAAAGCCAATAAAAACTTATTATAAATATTGTGCCGTTCCTTTGTGCCCAAATAATATCAAAACTGCACCTGACAAAGTATATTCAGTCATTGTGTTAAGTCTTTCTACACGGGAATTTAATAATTTAACACTGAAAACGTATTAGTTATTAACTTAAAATGAAACAAATAATCACCAGAAACCAAATATTACAAATACACACAACTTGTTGACAGTCTTGACAGTGTAGGTTGACGTCACGTTTTATTCAATGGCGTTGCGTTTTAGAAATTTGCGAGGGAATCTTAAAAAAGGCAATTTTTGTTGATTAAATTTCACTATTAAATTATAATAAATTTCAAAAATAATTGTATGGGTATCTTTTTTTAGCAATAAAAATTACAAATAAAAATATTTTGTCCATTTTGGTGTCACGTGCATATTCCCTATTTCTTGATTACATTTTTCCAAGATTAGAATCTACATATTGAACTGAATTTGGGAACTCTATTGTGCGTTGCTATATTATTCACATTTCTTGATTTTTCATTTTATTTACACCAGGGGACTATCGTGCATACTGATAGTAGTCAATCTGTGACAACGTAAATATTAACGACCTGGAAAATAATAATTTATGCCACTTTGAAAGTGCCTAATATTATTGTAATTTATTTTACTTTTCAATATGAAGAAACGTACAACATTATGGTTTCACATTGAGCCAGAAAGCTAACGTATGTACAGTAACCTTCGGTCGCTAGGAGGGAATTGAGTCCCGCCTGTCACTACTGCGATTGCAGTGAAGACCCGGCTCAGCACACGCTGGCAATTTGTCCGGCTTGGGCGACGCAGCGCCGAGTCCTCATTGCAGTCATCGGAGGGGATCTCTCGCTTCCGGCCGTTATACTACGCTCCATGGCTGGTAGTGACAGATGTTTCAACGCGGTAGCATCCTTCTGCGAAGATCTCGCAGAAGGAGGCGGCGGAGAGGGCCCGGGAGGATGACCTTCACTCGGACCCAATTCGCCGCCGGCGAACCGGGGGCCGTAGGCGTGCTTACCAGCGTCTCATGCCGCCCTGAGTGTGACTGCGGGTGGACGGGACGGGTTTTCTCCTCCATCCGCTACAGTGGCCAGCCGTAAGGAGCCGACGTCCGCGTGTGCCGGACGTCGCCAAAATCGAGAGTTTACCCAAAGGTAAACGCGCTATTGCAGGCAGGCGCTGGGAGGAGTGCGGATGTCTTAATATCAGCTGTTCCCGGAACCCTCCTATCTCTGGCGCGAAGTGGCACACCGTGTAGTTTTAGTCGGTTCGATTCCCTCACCGCCCCGCTGCAAACCCCGGTGGGGTGACAGCCCGAGGGGGTTTCCACACGTTAAAAAAAACACAGGTTGTACAGTAACCTTCGGTAGGTAAACCTACGGAGGCCAGTGATGTTCCGGTAAAATGTTACCAAGGATATGGCAAAGCACTGCTAGCTATATGTACTCTTACATAGTCATAAATAGTCTCCTTTTAACTCTAACCCGTCCAAATATTCGGCGTTTTTTTTAATACAAAATAACTGTTCAAGGCCAAAACCTCCATTCTAAGGAGAGGCCTATGCCCAGTAGTGGACTATTAAAGGCTGTTGTGATGATGATGATGTGATGAACTGTTCAAGAAGGTGATAGCCGCCGCATTTGTCAAAAATCTATGTCAGCGCTGAAAAGTGGAAACGCCTAAATCTTGATTTAATAAATAAGGTATAGGTATTATCCTTTTTAGTATTAATGGTAACACCACCTAACAACATATTTAATAGTGAAGTATTATATCTGTTGATGGCCTTACGATTTTCACGTCTAATATTTTTCGCATTGTACAAAATATACTTACAAGGCAAAGGGAAATGTTACATAGGAAAAAATATACTTGCATTTATTATTTACTACATTACACATAACTAAAATTATATATTAAATAACCCATCCCTGGTCGCTCTCGGGGCAAAGGTGCCTATAATGCAAGCTGCGTTCCTACGCTGAATGGCAATCGCTAACCTCTGCACCAGGAACAACCCTGAGCGGGAGTCACCACTTACTTCGTTCATCCTGCTCCCTAAGTCATGAACAATAATGGCGCTTGCGCTATTATAACGTGTCGGAAAAAAGCCAGGTGTATAGTGTAATGCTAGAGAAGGCATTTCTTTTTACCAATAATTCTAAAAACCGTCAAATAAAAGTGATATTTGTAATTATTACAATAGTATTATGTAGCTTGTAGACAAAAACGACACTGCATGTAGATACAAAATTATACATTGCTTACAATACATGGGTACGATCTAGTAGTACGTGAGCGATGGCGCTATGTATTGCGCTCTTTGCGAGAGCCGCGTGCGCTGAGCCAAAGCTGGAATCCCACGAAATCGACAAGTCTCTCTAGTTTATATTACAACAATGTTTAATACTGCTTGAGCATTTAAATAGTCATCTCAGGAACACTATCATAATTTAGGGAAAACTATCATCATATCCGGAAATTTTCCCAAAATGAGCGATCACGGAATGACGTTTTTAAATATTCGCGCGTTTTATGCCGGCATCAGCCATCTTGAACACAATACTTCGAGGTAAATGACAAGTAAACAATGGTAGCTTTAATTAATTATTCTTGTAAATTAGATGGTACGTTACAGCACTTGGGGACGCGTTCTCAAAATGATTTTTTTCACAATTATTTTATCATGTTAATGAAATTTATTTATTTTCCAAGCAGGTAATTTGGTGTATCAATAAGTCAAATCAATTGAAATGGTGTCAAGTGTCCATTAAACGAATTTAATTAGAGCCATACATGCTCCGATTGTTTGGACATGTTGAAAAGATTGAGTGTTTGTCAAAAGGAGTTTAAAAGTAAAGTAAAGTGAGTTGGCGAGCCGGTGCAGGTAACCTGTCCAAATCAACGGTACACTGAAGGTAGACTGGGCAGCCGCAACTGGCGAGGTGTATAAATGGCACAACAAGAAACAGGAAAGAAATGAAACAACTTAATAAAACAGTACATCTATATTGCACTATAACATCTCACTGAGTATTGTACAAATTGTGTATCATTATTACGAGAATTGATTATACTAAAAATAAACGTTACACATCGCACCTTTATTCATAAACTGAATTAACTTAGAATTTCAATATTGTGGGAAATCGCATTTAAAGTTTGACATTCATGTACGTGCGAGTTCGTCAAAAAGAGAACGACGATCTCTTATCTCTGCCATTTTCATGGTATCGAGTCGGCTGTTGGATTGTTCGTGTTCTACTGATGAAGTTGAT